CTAAGAATGAACCCTGAGCATGTTTCGGAGACCACGGTAGACATCTGATTAATGTGAGGCGGAAGTCCTTGCTGGGGGAGGGAATAGGTTCTCTCAAGATGCTGGGAAAAGGGAGACTGAAGTCTAAAGAAAGAAAACAGAAGTTGTATTTTGGTGAAAAGCAAATAAAAATCGTTAAGTACCATAACGGAAAAAAAGACTAACTCATGAGGCTTTGAAATTTCTCTCAAACATCCCAGACACTTGGATTCAAGGACAGAATGCGCGATTACGATCCTGTCACCCTAACTAATGCGGGAAAGTGTGGAAGAAATGCCCTCATGCTGGAGCCTTACCTTCAAGCAGCCCTTTAGAGTGTGTTTCCTTGATGACTAGAATACAGCCGTTAGCTTTGGAGTCTAAGGGGATTGGCTTCAAAGGCCAGCCCTGCCCATTCCTGCTCCTGCTCTTTTGAAACAACCGAGCCTCAATTTCCTCATCTGTAAATAAATAGTATCTGACTGGCCAGACTGTTATAAGGACGAGTGAGAAAGGTGAATCCATGTAAAGACAGCTAGCAGATCTGCGACTTAGTTCAACAAATCAAACTATTCATTATGATGTACACTTTGTAATTGCCCATTTTCCCCCCTAAAATCTCTCATTGAGTTACATCATGTGGAAATTATCTCAATTTGGGGGATGAGGAAAATGGGGATTCAGCAAGGTTATACACCAGGTTCAAAGTCACAAAGCCAATTGGTGTACATTATCACACCACATCTCCTTCCCTGGACAGAGCTCCCCTAGGACTCTCCTCCCCTTCTCGTGCTGTTGAACCTGAATAGGTGTCCCTGACCCCCATTGAAAGCCCGCAGCAAAGAGGAAAAGCAGTTAATATCTGCCTCGCTGAGCATCTCTTAAAAACCTGCTACTGTTGCAACATTTTATGTTCATGTGTTGTCCCTGAACTTGCTTTTAGAGCCCATTCTCATATTCTCACTGAGGGACCTAGAAAGGAACCAGAGGAAGCTTATTACACCATTTACCTGAATAAGTCTAAGATGCAATATTGTTGGTGCCATGGCAAAGAGCAACTTGCATGCATGGAGTCTGAAGGACGGGTATGAGGTGCTGAGGTATGTTCTGAGCCCTTTTCTCATCCTCTACCAAATGCTGCTCTTACACCTCACAGAAATCCAACCATCATAAACCCTCTTCCACATAGGATCACAGTTGTTATCCTAGTTTTACATGGAAGAAAGGTGACCAGTCCCCTGGTTAGAAGAATCCATGCATCGCTGCGCCAATGAGGTGGTTCTTTCATGGGTCCCTCCTCACATCCTACCACTTGAGTGGCTGTGTGGCCTGAACATCTATAATGCCTCCTCAGTTTGGAGGACTGGTTTTAGGTCTGAAATTTGGAATAAAGCTCTTGAGGATGCCACGCATGTATCTCTTCACCCCAAAACAGTAGAACATGTAGAAATAGAGTTAACTTAGCAGAGGAAGAGCTGTGATATGTAAGGAATGCTATCGTTATCCTACAGAGTATTCTCTGTACAAAAACCAATGAAAAAGAAAAGCATTGGGATCCAATATAAGCTGTCTTTGCCTCAGGCTGTCAAACAGCGGCTTAAGCAAAATTAATTGGTTTGTAAAAAAGGGAAAGAAAAAAAAATTGGAAGCTGAATGATTAAAAACTAAACAAAATGAATCCTTGTTATCCTGAAATGCTATGTCTTTTCCCTGAGTCAAAGGTTGACAAACACTTTTTTGGTCTTGTAAGGGCAAAAAAAAAAAAAAAGAAAAAGAAAAAGAAACCCCCCCAAAAACAGATAGTTTAAGCTCTGTGGGCCATACAATCTCTGTCACAACCAGTCGACTCTACTGTTATGGTGCAAAAGCAATCACAGACAAAATGTAAACAAATGGATATGGCACATTTCCAAAAAACTGTATTTATGGACACTGAAATTTGAATTTCATAAAATGTTCATTATACAAAATATTATTCTTCTTTTGATTTTTTTTTCCAACCAGCCTTTGCTTGTGGGCTGTGCACAGACAGGCAGGTGGCTGGATTTGGCCCATGGACTTCCATTTGCTGACCTTGCTCGAAGTCGGCACTGATACTCAGGGGACTCTTGAGGAGGCATCTCCACCAGATCAAGGACCAATTCAAGAGGGCCTACTCTCTAGCTCCTGTCACAGAACCTGAGTCCTGGGGCCACCTTATGCATAATTCTTCAATGAGGTGCTTGCCTCATTAAAAAAAAAAAGTTCCAGAAGACTGGATTTTAGAGTAAGACATTGACCTGTTGCTTAGAAAATACCATCCTCATCCTTTTCCCTACCTTAAGTTACTCATGACATACTTTTGATTCATAGAATTAAGTAAATTCTGCAAGTTCAAGACAATGAACTTTTCTATACAAATGGTAGGCCAGTATCTACCTTTCCATCTCAGCCTTCGCTTCTGCTTACTCCCTCTTTGCAAAACAACAGGAACTTGAAGAGTTATAAAGTTAGCATCCTAATTTAGCAGAGACTAGAGATGTTTCCTATCATCTACCAAGTGTTTAAGACTTGATACTAATAACTTCATTCATTTATTTCTGGAAAGTAACAGCTCTAAGTATAAATAAATGTAGGAAGGATGGAGAAGTGCAACATGAAACAAGCTCCTAACAATTTAAAAATGTGTAGATATTCCCAATATAGCATAATTCATTGAATTCCAGCCCTTCCCCCGTTTTCTGCCCCCTCTAGAAACACTGAGGCTTAGAAACACTGACTTGATAAGGTGCAAATTTAAGTAAGTGATTTCACATCTTTTTCCAATAAAGCACACAAAAAGCATCCAGCTTTTTGGGTGAGAATGACCAGCCTGAGAATTTCAGATATGAGAATAGAGGTCCACAGCACGTTTCAACTTTCAAATGCTCCATGTGTCACAAATTCCAGAGTTTTATTCTAGGGCATTCCAGTAGGCAGAAGGCTCTATTTGGGAACAATCTTGTGGTTTCAGGGAAAACAGTACCTATACAAAGTATCTCTTTATAGGATAGTGAATTTGGATTTGCACACCCCAAACTGTCATCTGCTACTCAAATCCCGGCAGTGATGGGGATGGAGAGAAAACAGTTGCCATAGTTTTCCAGACTGCCCATCCATACAAAAACCCAACAACACACAAAGAACTGACCATCACAATGGACAGAAACAAAGATACTCATTTTCAAAGCTGAGGAGACCCAACTCCAAAGCAGAGCCTCGCTTTCCTTGTGGGACCTGATCTCAGCTGCTGTATTTGCTTGCAAGTTTCCTCCAAAGTTGCTGTGTGCATCCAGATAACCTTTGGTTTTACAATAGAGGAACAGAAAGCAGAGTTGTAATGGAGAGGCGGGAAGGGAAAGCACTACCTCTATGTTGTGCAAAATCAAGATAATTACAAAGATTCCCCTGTGTGCCAAATTTTAAAGGAAGGTGACCAACTGTTCCAGCTTGCTCAGGATGGAGGGGGTTCCGGGATGCAGGGTTTTCAGTTGTAAAACCAGGAGAGTCTGAACCAACTGGAAGGCATTGGTTACCCTAGACAGGTCTCTTCTAGTCCAAGTCTTTGGATTTTAAATGCAACAAATCAGGCAAAACGCCTAGCATGAGGAAGGACACAAGCCCTACATTAAAGAAAGGACATGATTCCCAGCAGTTTTGCTGAAAATGATGACTCCAAAGCTCAAAAAACATTGGTAAGAGAAACATTACAAATTATCTGTGGGCAACAAAAGTGAGAGGTTCTTTTAGATGTGCCATTTTTAGCTAGTCCATCCAGGCTAAAGCTCAGATAAATGATAAGATGTGGGGCAAAGTGTTACAAAGACTGGTTAACACCCATAGCCTAGAACCCAAAACCCAGTCAACAAGAGGCCTCCTTTCCAAACTATGTACAAGTCCCAAAGGTTGTCTGAAACAGAAACTTTCTAGACTAGGGTAGTCCTCTGCTATCATAGCTGAGCGCCACACTTCTCCCAGGAAAAAGAGGTCTCTGTAAACACATATAGTAAATAATACAATGAAATCTGTACCCATTCTTTCCCAACCAAATGACACCACCAATCAGCTACAGAACTGCTTTCTACACCCACAGGTGTCTTCTAGGAGGAAGATGATGACAACCCACCATGTTTATTCAAGACCCAATCTTCAAAGTCTATGATGTGTTTGGCAAAGATTCAGGTCAGCCACCTGCCCCTTTTCTTTCTCCAGTTCCGGTTCTAATGCTCACCACTGGCTCTCGGAATAATGATCTCTCAGCCTTCTCAGGGTCTCAAGTTACTACAAAGACTGGGTTTCCCTTAGTCAAGCGGAAGGCTCACCTAGGTTAGAAAGATGTACAGTAGTCATTGAAACCACAAGGTTCTAATGCTTCTTGACTATTCTGATTGACCCAGGTGTTTCAGCATCCCACTCTTTGACTATGAGAACAGGTACAAGTATTAAAGCAAAAGAGAAACCTCAGAATGTTGTCACCGCTTAGCCAGTTCTGACCCCGCCAGATCTTGGCTGCTACACAATAAATAGAAATGCTCCAGACTTCTAATTCTAGTAGCTATTGTTTTTCAGGTGGGTAGATGATTTAATAATAAATAGTAATAATTAGACATTATACCAAGATATCAGAGGCTTGTCTTCTGGAGGTCCTAAGTATTCCATCAAGGCAACTGGTTAATTCAGAAATAAGAGTAGGTTCTTGACTAAAGTCATTTAGTTCAGCACTGTTTCATTATAACATTGATGAGATGCCATAGGAACTTAGCTCTTATTTATACCAATTAGTCTACAGTAACATTGGTTTTTGTCATGTCATTTCACTTAAAATTGCAGAATCTACTGATGGTGTTAAGTAAGGACTTAGTGCAAATAAGTAATAAGCAAATAGAGATCCTTAAAAGTTGAAGATAAAAGTGGCAAAAAAAAAAACAACCCAAACAAAAATCCTGCAAAACAGGGCTCCCTACCTTCTTTTTGGAGTGGCTTCTTTCCTCCTCTTTCGTGGCTTTGCTATTTTTCCCAGCACGAGACACCTTCTGGTCCCCAGACTGCTTGATGGTGATCTTGATCTCAGGTGGGCATATATAGTTCTCCAGATTCTTTGGCGGTTTCTTAGCCCGCTTTGTGGTCTGAATCTTCAGCTTCAGACTCCCCTCCGTGAAGTTTGCCTCCTTGATAGAAAACTCCTGTTCTTCCAGGCCATCTCCTGCTACCCACTTCTCACTGTCTGCATTGGAGTTGGAATCCACATCCCGCCCTGAGCCCAGTTCATCCTCTTCCTCTGGCTCCATGCGTTCTCCCGCCACGGGGATCCCCTTCCCAGTTCCTGGAGCAGAGAGCAAAGGTTCTCCTGCACAGCCGGGACCAGTCGGGGTCTTGGCGGAGGAGACAGGCAGGAAATCCGACTCGCTCCCCCTTTGCCGGGAGCTGCTTAAGATTTCCCTGGACTCCATGACAATCCTACAGTCTTCAGGAGTTCTCAGGAGGGGGAAGGGAAAAGGGGAAAGGGAAGGTGAGAAGAGAGGACACCCAAAATTCCAAGGACAAAGTGGTCCAGCTGCTGGGTTCAGAGTCCCAAGGATGGCGACACGGCGAGGTGTTCAGAAGAGATCAGATCTGCAACTGAGAAGCAGAGAGATAATCAGCCATGGCAGGGAGGAAAATGACCTCAAAGGTAACTCAGTCTCAGTTCCAGAAGCCCTTTCCCACTCATCAGTGGCATCAGAAAAAATGATGGAAAGAAATCAGATCAGAATGTGCACATCCCCACGTGGGTTCAATTGGGGCACAGAGACCAGCACACACAAACACATGTCCCTTCATTGATTGTTTATGGCTGTGGACCCAAGGAAAAAAAAGAGAGGCAAGTCCTCCAGTCCAGTAACCAGCTAGACATTTCTTAAACTGAAACCACAGCTGGCTGAGTCACCATCAAACCCAAGCATGACGAAAGGGAAGTCTGAAGTGTTGATGCTCAGGTCTGTGGGAACTGCATTTGGGTGACTTCTTGCACCACTTCCCGCACAGCTGAAAACAGTTTGCAGAGCTGAACATGACAACCCCTGAGGTGGCCGGGCCAAGCTCCCCATCCCCTTACAGGAAAGACAGTGGGTCGAGGTCCTGACCATTCTTTCCTTGCCACTTTTCATTGTGAGTTATTTCAATTATGCAAGTCTGATCTATTTCTTTTAAAGCAGATGTAAAGTTTAGGCACAGGCTTGAAAACAAAAAAGAAAAACCAACCCTAAAAATGTTTTCACTGACACAAAAGATATTTAATCTGTCATTTATTTCGATAAAAATAGCCATTTGGGACAGTTTCAAGTCCTTTCTGGTCCTTAAATAAAGTGGCTTTACGTCTACATGACAACAAAAAAGAGAAAGGGAGAGAGGGTAGCATTTCACAGGCCTTTGGACACATCAGTAAACAGACCCCACCCTACTCCCCACCACCTCTCCCCCCACCCATGGCCCACCCCCACCCCTACCCCTCGCCAGTATCTTTGATTCTGCCTTCCTCAGAAGGAAAAGAGAAAAATCAGTTAGGCCTTGTCCAGACCATCAGAGGATCAGCTAAACTACCTTTCACCCTTATTCACTCCATGTGCCACGACTCCCAGTTTTATACTCATCATTTTCAAACCCAAAAAGAAGCTCTCTGAATGCTTTCTGAGTTTCCCAGCAGAAGGCCCTACTGCACACCTTACTTTTCTACCACTGAGCCCACCAATTTAAAGAACTGGTCAACAAATGTGCCCACCATAAAATTTCAACAATGCCTGCAAAGACACGTTCAGAAGAGCCAATAACTGGAACCTGAAGATGGAGGTGTGTATGTTCCCCCCTGGAATTGGTACATTTTCAGCTGATGCCCTGTGAAGAAGCCAGTCATTAAGGCAGTTAGAGCTTCAACATGGACCTGTTCCCCAGAGGTGCCCAGGAACGTACTCAGCTCCTGGAAACCGCTCAGCCCTGCAGAAAGACACATTTACAACTGCTTCCACTTAGGGGAAAACCCAATGAATATGGCATTTCTGGAAGACAAGAAACTGCCTAATGAGAACATGAGCATCTTTGCTGAAGCTGTCAATCAAACCCTGAACAGCCACCCACGTTCCATGCTGCTACAAAGGGGACAAAGTCCCCACTTAGGACCGGGGCAGGCAGTTAGACCAGATGACACTTGATGTTTCTTTTACTCATATGATTCTTTGTCTCATCTAGATGGATCTTCCTACCTACCCAAAACCTTACATAATTTTTTAAAAAGCATCTTGAAGTCAAGATTCATCGAGGCTTCTCTTCTTAGTGTCAGGTACCACACTAGCTGTTGGAGACATCAAGATGCCCTAGAACATGTCCCTGCCAGTCAAGCAGTAAGAGACCAGTAGGTCATTCTCAGCTTGTGTCCCAGGGCCATACAAATTGCAGGCCATGTTTTTCTTATGATAGTAGTCTTCAGTGGTTTACTCCCTCTGTCAGGAATCTGTAATGTTACATTTTAATTCCCTGGTACCTACCTATAAAGCTGCCCTTGAGTTAGGGCAAAAATGAGGCATAGTCCCCCCAAAACATTCCTACCCTAAACCCATTTGGACCTTTAAACTGCAGATAGGACAATGTATATTGCAGGTTCAGTGATGAGAGAAAAGAAGGTAAAATCTAAACTTTGGTGGAATTATTAGATATATGAGTGGATGTATTATTCATATTAATAAAGTACCTTCCATTAAAAGATGGCTCACTTCAGTTTTTTATATTTAGTGGTATAAATCATTAACTAATTTATGTAGAAGACAAAGTTCCAAAAGTTAAAATTCAAGTAGTAAGAGATACGCAAAAAGGGAAAACTCAACAATTTTTTTCAGTTCTTCACAAGATCCTAAGACACAATAAAAATACAAGGCAGTTATACTCTGAAGAGTAACTTGGAAAATAAAACAGAACAGATTTTTATATGACCTATAATAAAGGATAGAAACAAAAGGAAGAGAAAGTGTTTTCCACTTGGGCAAGGTGTAAATAGATAGATGGGTAACTACCCCAGAGGGCTTCAAGGAGAGCACAGGATATGGCTTTAACCTTGAGGGGCTTGAACAGGAAGAGTGAGCAAAAGGAAGACAGGGCAGAAAGACGGAACAGCATGAAACAAGGCAAGGCCTGGGGCAGTAGCGTACAAAGATCAGGGAAGAGGAAGGTGAGGTTTGGGTAAGAGGCGTGGTACAAAAGAGGGACTGGTGAGCAGTATGGCTGGAGATAAAAAGGTTACAGCCAAATCACGGGCATTCTTGAATGTCATGCTAATTAGTTGAATTTTATCTTAAAGGTAATGGCAAAACCCGTTTAAGGGATGTCAATAGGGAACGGATGCTATTAAGGCTTTGCTTTAGGAAGATAACCGGCATGTGATGTGTGAGGGATGAATTAACAGAACCTGATATTCGAGGCAGGGGAGCCCATAAGGAGAGGCTCAGCTGACATCCCATTCTTGTTGCATGAGGACCCGAACCACAGCACTGTGAGTATGACAGAATAAATACAGAGACAAAACAGAAACGCAGCCTCATGTAATCTTAATCTTCAGGAACACACTAATTCCAGACTCTTCATTCTGGTTTCACCTTAAGAATCCAGTCTTAGGACTCATTTGCCACCACTTTGCATTCCCTTTTCAAGTCATACCAGTCTCCACAATAGCATTATATACTCAGAATTATTTGTCCTAGCATTTTTATAGAATCTTTCCTTTTATCTCTTTCCATCAATCCATTTAATGTGTCTCATATAGCTGGTGCTCTCCAAATGTCTGTTGCATGGAGGAATGAATGAACAGATCCCAATCCTTCCCATATTTCAAGGTCATATCCAAGTCTTCCCTTCCTCATGACCATATTTTGTAAACTCTGGACCACAGCATTCACTCCCTGGTCTCACTTCTCACCCAGCTGCATGGCTTGCCGCTAACTACTATTCTCGCCTTGTCTTCTCATTGTTTTGAGTACACACATCTTACTTCGTTTCAGTATCAGGCTGAGATGGACTTTGATTGTACAACTCATATTCACCTCAGCACACAGGGCAGGACTGGGCACTTGGAGGACTTTTCATTGAAAATGAATTAGCCCCCTGACAGTTGTTCCAAGTCCCGTGTTTCAAAATACTCCAACTGCAGCTCCACCCACCCAGGCAGCCCCGGCAAAATTACACTGCCCACGCTGAGGATATAATCCAGCCCCTCAGGTCCACGTGCGCCCCTCACCTTCGGAAAATAAAAGGACGCTTTCAAAAGCAAAGAGCAGAGAAACCTAACCTGTCTGTTTACTTCTCCAGCACACAAAGCTGTTGTTCTCCGTTTGCCTACTCCCAGCCCTTACCTGCCATCCCAAATTCACAGTTCAACTTGTTGGTGAGCCTGGGAGACCCCTGCACGTCCTCTTGGATGCACCCCAGCCGACAGGCGGGTGTGAGCACAGGCACTCCCTGACTCACACTCACGAGGAGGGAAAGCCCAAGCAAGGTGAAAACGTTTTGCCTGTCACATTCCAGCAGTCAGCAACTCCTCCAGAGGGGGCGGGCGCACAATGGACACTCTGTACTTGGCTCAGGCCTCCAGTCCAACAAAAGTTAACCCTTCCATGACTGCCCGCAGGGCGTGGAGATAGCTAGGCACAGAGGAACAATGAAATTACTTAGGAAATAACTGATTACAAGGTCCCAGGGGAACAGAGAGGATAGAAGGAGAGGGAGGTGATGCACTTGGAAAGAACACTGGGAGAGGAGTCTGGAAACTTGGCCTCTCCTCCTGGCTCGCCCATTGACAGACACCTTCCGTCCCTTACTCCATACTTAGCAATGAACCGTGTGGGATCAAGGTCTTTTCTATACTCGAGACTTTGTAATTTTCCTCTGCAAGCCACAGACCTACGGGGACACTCCAAACTGGACAGTATCACCTACAGGATTATTTTTCTGAGGGATGGGGGATCATAACCCAAATGAGTCCCTAAAAGTACATCCTCTCCCTCTTCACATCTGCAAGACGGAAGAATTTTTCCTAGTCTAAAAAACATTCTCCACCTGCAGTCCTGGAGAACTCTTCCTAATTCTAGAGTTTTAAGGAAATGCAAATTTTTCAGCCCTGCCTACTGAATCAGGGCTCTAGGGCGGGGCTCACCTCTCTGGCTTTTACCAAACTCCCCTGGTGGTTCTGATGAGTTCAGGCTTTGCTTACCTTCTGCATGAATCCCATCCGCTGCCTGGACCTTAGAACACTATTATTCTGTGTTTCAAAGGATTTTTCCCTTAAGTCTCCTAAGGATAAGCATCAGTTGCACTTTGTTCATCCTTGCAATCACAACGCCTAGTCCAGTGCCCAGTGCATAATGAACACTTAAGAAAGGCTAGTTGACAATTAACCAATGAATAAACCAACTCAGTCTGGGCTTCCTGGTATCATCCACCTCTCCCCTCCACTTGGTCTCCAGGGGCGCATAGGCCATCCTCACCCTGACTTCTGCTTTCCAAAGGGACGACATGGTAGAACTGAGAGAGCCCCTGACATGCCCAACAAGAGCCCACAGATCCGGATGCTGGACCTAGTTCTTCCAACAAGGGGGCCCTCA